ATTTTTAGCGCATAATGATATTGACTGTCATGTTCATGCCTCGACAGACCCACAATGGAGCCGTGGTCGACAAGCGGGGGGATGACATGGACTACTAAATTATAAAAATTCCGGATTATGAAATACGAAAATAAAATTTACAACCATTACCTCTTCGAGACATTAATCAATCAGCAAAAAGTAATTACAATCGACATGATAACATTACTCATTATAATATATACATTCTATCACCCTGTATAGATAAAGGCGATTCAAATTTTCAATCGAACCAATTCACACTTTAAATGCTTATCATTGAGTCATGTGAATCTCTTACTTTAATTAAAAATTCAAAAACCAAAACAAGATTTAAAGTGCATTTCTCTCTTTCTGCCAAGAAACACAAAAACAAATGTCAGCAATAAATGTCTCAAAATCTTAACATCAGAACATTTTTCTGTAAGTAGTCACATTGCACAAAATAATCCACTATTACTTAATTTCGCAATGCCGCACAATTGAAACAAAATTTTTGCAGCCTGCTGCTCTGTACTGTTTACCCAGGATTTCGGGGGGGAAATCCATAACACAAAGAGAAGAATTTGCCAATGTTTACCAAAGTGAAAATTTCTATTGTTATTCCTCCTACTCTCATATGCTGGCAGATCTTACCGACTAATTCTCGATATTCAAGTGCGATCACTATCTTACGGAACGCTGCTTACGTCCTAATATTAGCAAAGCTTCAACGCAGATGCCTCCCTCCATTAAAATAATGTGTTTACCGTTCACTGACATGCTTTGCGCGGAATGAAACAGCAATTCTTCTATTACCTCTTGATGTTGTAGGAACTGTTCTTAACTGTCACAGTAGCATATACCTTGCTCTATTGGAGTAATTTTTGAATAACTTTATTTAATGCGGTTATTTATTAGAAAGTACTTTTATTTGTTGATTCTGCGAGGCGGACATAGTGAACTTGTGCATCACGGAGCGCTAGTGACATTAACAAGCATTGTTTATATCTCCACAAATGGCACTCCAATTCAGATATAATTTCAAAATTGTTAGTTTAATCATTGATGTTCTGTTTGAAGGGCGAGGATAAAAGATCTTGTGAAAAGACCTAACATTTTAAAATTTTTTTCCGTTATACAATGCAGTAACACTTTCACTATCTCATTCTAGTGCAAACATTATCTCAACCTTACGCTCATGTGCCTGAGCATTCGGAGCTCATATACACTTACGTAATTGACACTTTCAAAATTCACTAATAATCACAACGTAACTTGAATTAACTTAATTTAGACAACACGCAACAAACATTACATATTTTTCGCCTTCTTCGATCCGTGGTTATCGACCTCCCATTCACTATTGTCACTGAGCAAAGCGGCCGCAGAGGTCGCGCCCTTCGGTCACAACCCTCAGATAATGAACGCAGTGCACTGAATGTGGCCCTCGAGACAGCCAATCTCATCCCACGCGTGCGAGTGGTGTATAAAACTAAGTCCACTGTATTTCCACTCGATTCTCTTATTAGACTCTACAATGACCGATTATTATGCTGTATTCTGTCGGTGATCGGCTTTCGCCATAATATCAAATCTAGGAGTTAATCCGCAGGTTAGTTCCATCTCGAGAATGTCTGAAAATGAAACCGTAGAGGTTACATCGGCTTCCATTTACATGAAAATCTTTTCTAATATTGGCAATCTTACACCATCACCCGTTCTTTTGTTGCTAAAAAAAGATTGGATGGGCACTATGCCTCAGAAAATTGGCCTCCCATCGCCGCCTACTTTCTCCTCATATATGAAATTTGTTTTCGTTGACATTTGTAGTAAAATCATAATCTTTGCCCCGAATCGTATTTTAACATGTATATTAAACCATTTAGATGGATAAATCTTATTCATTATTACTATTAGCAAAAAACAACAGTAGATGGTTATCAACAAACACGAGGTGTACGCGATCATACAACATTCCAATCTGATTTACACCAACACGATCGCCAAGCTACTCTTAATATTTCAAATTTCCTCAAACTATTCTAATTCTTGCGTTCTTAACTTTGAAAATAAAGCTCATCCAAACAACTGTTTGTTCGCCGGCTTGACAACATTTTAAAATGCTTAAAGGGGTGACGACAAGATAGAACATCGTGGTTGGTTCCGAATGCCACGTTGATACGTTCGATTGCCGGTGGGTTGATCGTTCTAAACCTTGCACAGAATTTCATCAATGACCAACGGCGACAGCAGAAAATGTTGCAGTTTCGTTATCTAATAATTCACTATTCAGTTCTATGTCGTCAATCATTTTATAATCGATACCGTATAAGCTATTTTGTGTCTTACAACGGACTAGCGATCACAAACCTGCTAGAAAGAGGTCGAGTTTTGTAACTCTTATTAAAATTTAGGGCCCTTATCAATATATTACTTCTATTAAATCGAAAACCCAAAGCCCGCCCAGACTAACTACAATTCGTACATAATGCACAATGCATTCGCTCTTCAAATTTATAAATGTCGCGCCGCGTTAACCTCGTCCATTTCAAAACAGGATTCTCACGAGTGCCCAATAAAGACTTAACATAGCAAGAAACTCATTGCAGCCATACTATTAACCATACCCTAGACAATGTCATGAGGTTATTACTGCCCCGACGTGCCCCCTAAAGTAATAATCAAGGCGCAGGCGAGCCGATGATTGTTTAACTATGACGACGGCATGATATACAACACTGAACATTTTTCGTGGCATGTTCAAGTCACCAATAAAATCTCAATTTTTTAGAAAATTACATACTGCGATAGATCTAAATTACCGCAATTCATTCTGCTCTTTGCGGGATTCATAATACGCATATTGCTTTTGAGCTATTGCTCTGCGATATATCTATTTCAACAATACACTTGTATATCGCTGCTACGAGAGATGACGCTTACAAATTTGTCTGTACCTCAAGAAATTTGGGTTGCAGCTGCGGCAACCACCGCGAGATTTAATCCCTGAGAAATCTTAAACACGATGCCAAGAATACGGAATACATTTAAAAAACTTTCAGCGGCCAATTCAACAACAATCACCGCTACGCAATGGTGACAGAAATAGTAATGCTTGCCCGTACATTCTTCAAGAGACTTGGTAAAGGATTAACACTATTCCTTTTATAGAAGACAACAACCTTTGTCATACGTTTTATTTATACAGTCGCAAAGTACATACACCAATATTCATTCATGGTATACTTAGTCGTAGGTATAAATGAAAAGCGTGAACTTGAAGAAACATTCCACAAATCCTTGCATTCTTAAGAGATCTGAACTTTGTGTGCAAACAAAAAGCAAAATTGTTTGGCAAAGAATGGCGTATGGAGTTCTGATAGAAGCTGGGATGAAGAATATTGTTTCAAAGGTATGATTGCTCATTAGTATTTTAGAGTTGACAACACGGTACAGATTTGCTCTAAAAGCAATCACTTTTTCACGTTGTTCTACAGCTATTTAAGCTTTTTCGCCCTGCGTGCTCGCTGGTATCGAAAGTATTACCACTGTCTGTCTTTTGTTCGTTTACTTGTTTTTGCGTTTTGCGTCTGTTTTTTTATTGCTGTTTTTGCTTTTGCTGTCTTCTGTTTTGTATTTTTCTTGTTTTTTTTATTTTTTTTCTTGTTTGCCGTGGTGTGGGGGGTGGCTGTGCCTGCTTTGGTGTATGCCTCGCGTCATTGCGTCGCGTGTGGTTTTTGTTGGGTTTTTCCTTTTTTTTTAGTTTCTGTGTTGGCGCTGTCTTCCTTCTTTCGTCCTTGCTTCTTCTTCCTTGTCATGTAATATTGGGTTTCTTTGGGTCAGTCGGAGTGTCTGGGTGTGTTTTTTGGTGTTTAGTTTTTGTGGGTTGTTGCTTGTATGCTTTTTGGAGTCTCTCTGATGCGCGAGTCGCTCTTGTATATCGGTTCGATGGTCGTACGCCTCGGGCTCGCATCCATATCTTACAGGTTTGCGCGACATAGTTGCTCTCCACGCCTCGATCACGCACTATAGCGCCAGTGCCTTCGCAGCATCATTCTTTTTCCTTACGTTTTGTGTGGGCGTCGTCTGGCCGTGGTGTTGTGTTCTCGTCGGTATTTGGTTGTTTTGTTTTCTCTTCTGTTTTTTATCTTCCAATCTTTTTTCGTTTTGTTTGCTTTTATGTTGGTCTTTTTTTGCCTTGTTTTCTCAAACGATTCTAAAATCATTAATATCATCACGAATGCGTTTCTTTATTACTATTCCTTGTAAACTTACCACGGAGAGTTTTTTCGTAATAATGTTTACTCGATGAATGCTAGTTGTGTATTTTACAGCGTCTACTAAGGATGTTAAAACAGCCGTTCGTAAGAATTTTAATTTTTTTAACCGTCACAGTAAGGTCAACAAGTGCACTTAACAACTTATTAAGTTGCATGTTAACAAAGCGGTTATAAAGACGCGTTCCGCCGAACCCACACCAACATAAAGCTACTATATTTCCTGAAAGCTTTTCGATTAATTTCGAGTTGACAGCGACAGCCTCGCTCTGAGACCGGACAAAACTCTTCTCGCACGTGCGCCGTCCTCCGGCTGCGGAAAAAACGGCCCGCTGTGAAGAATATAGGTCGATCCTCTGCGGTGCCTAAACGACCCTTTGCGCCACGCGAAGAGCATCGCCGATTCCGGGGATGCGACGGAGCGCAGGCGTGGCGGAGGGGCGGCGGGGTGAGAAGGGGCGCCGGAGGTCTCAAAGACGCCAATTCTTCAGCCGGGCCCCTCGCAGCTTCCTTTCGCGCTCACTCGAGCGAAGCCGGCCGTTCAAAACAGTAGTGCATTCTCCGCGGGCTTCCCACGCCCAAATCAGCGGCGCACTATCCAGGAACTGGTGGGCGCCGGAGGCTGGCTCGGCGGGCCGGGCTGACCGCGTGTTCCCGGGGCGCACGCGACCTCCGAGCGAGCGACACAGGGCTACGCGCGGTGCTCGTCAGTCGCCCGTCGGCCGGCCGCTGAAGGGTTCGCTGCTTATACGAGCGTTGGAGTTTCCTCGAGAGCGGGGGAAGCGTGTTGCGACGCCCTGACCGGAGCGATCTCCACGGGGCCTACGGATGTGTGCCTTACTGGACATGACCAACTGCGAGGCCGCCGTCAGCCCGTCGGCCACACCCAATGCAGCCCGCCCGCCTAAGGAGAGCCGAAAGGTAGGCCTCGCTTTCTCTTCAGTTTCCCCAAGTCGAACGTCTGAAATTTGGAGATTGTCATTTATTCATATAGCACCATTCTTCGTCATGTCATGCAGTTTCTTGTCATTTGTCAATTTACTTTTTCATATTTTTGTGAGATGTATTTGCTCATTAAAAATATTACTTGCTCATATGTTTAAATCATCATAATATTTACATCATAAAAACTTTAAATTTATTTTTACTAGCACATAAGCCTACTACATACATAAGTAAATGCCTCACTTATATTTAAAGTCACTTTTTTTGCATATGAAAATATCCAATTTTATTAATTAAATATTTAGTATGTTACTCCGCTGTAGAGCTTATCTGGCTGATTGAAATACGTATTTCATCAGAGATCGACCAAATGTCAACTTATTACTGAATATTTACAATTTTCTCTGTTAAATCTGAAAATTGAAGACCAAGAATAATGCATTTCTTTTGATTTTTCGTTTCTAAACATTTTAATTATTTATGAATTTTAAATTGACTTCTTTCAAAATGTACATCAACAGACAATAACAAAATACACTAAATGTTTCTTATTGTTAAATATAGACCCTTCAATTTTCTTATATTAAAAATTTTCACAGTTGTACATTACAAAGTAGTATATTTATAAAGTCATTGTCAGACTGTCATCAATATTGGACATTTAAATCTTGAGAATTGTTAGATATTAGATAGAATGTTTGTTGTTAATTGTTGCGTTCAGAGTTTTCTTTCTTAAAAATATCATTTGAAAAGTATGCCTTCCTAGTTAAATTATTCTGAGTAATCATTCTGCATTTCAAAAATCACAGTTTTAAAGGTGAAAATAGCCTAATAATTGAACCTAACTGCGACTGGCCAAGCTCTCAACAATGCATTACATCATATTTGTTCTATATTCTGCGTGCGTCAACATCTTGATATTTCCAAGCATTTATTTCCAAGCAAAAGACTTAATTTCGAAACCGTGCGATTAAATTGCAAAGAGACAGTTTAAATTAACAAACGTTTCGAGATTACTGACATTTCTGACTACCCAAAGTATGAAATACACGGTACTCAGATCTCCAAAAATTCTACACCCCAAGTTTCACAAAGCTCTCGGTTTGTATATTACAAACTAAACATGTATCTGGGGTTCAGGGTTTTTTAAAGCTTGTAACGCACAGTTTTCTACGTAATGCTCGAAGGTAACGTGTGTAGTGGCAACACAGTGGTCTTGCCAGATAATCGTTTTCGAAACAATATAGAATAAGAATATCTTATTATTATAAAAATTTAGTTATTATCCAAAAGTAATAGTTTTGTGTAGTAAAAAAATTCACTTGTCGCTTAAAATGCAATAATGATGAACTTGTATTATTTAAAAATAATGAAATGAAAATATGCAACATTCACTGCTTCCGGATACTGTAGTACATTGTACTACGCTCGCTAAATCATCTTCATAATGTCACGGAGCAAATTATTAACATTCATTTAATAACTCGTACATGTAATCTGGAGAATCTGATTGTGCAGCAATCAATAAAACAAGCTTACAATGTCTTCGGACCACCTGGAATGACATTTCTACTTTGTCTCAAAAATAACAACAAAAGAAAATCTTCATAGAGTTGCAATGAATATTTTGATAATAAACATCTCGTGTTTTAAAAAGGAGTAATTTCATTCGTGTTTATCAAATTAACTTCTATTCAAGTACTTTATCATGGTCATAAAATACAAGTAATTAGTATATTCTTATTTTAGTCAAAGATAAATTAGTGTATCTTCTCGTCTGAAATCCTTACCGTAATTACGGCTGCAGTTTTAATATTTCCGAAGTAACAAAAACAGACTTAATAATAACATCTAGTACACTGTAGTTCCTCTTTAAAGCTCTATCTTGTAGGAGTATCGGCCTTTTGGCCTCTGCACAGTACACGAAACGCTTTGGTATCGACTTGCTCTCATTCCAAGAAGAGCTCGTCTATTGAACCACCTTAAAAGTTACGTAACCGCTCATGGGATGTTCTATCTCTCGACTTCTTTCCAATGCATCCTTCTCTTTTAAAAAATAGATTCGTTGCAGTTTCCGACGCTTGAGAGAAAAATGTGTAACAAAAAACCGTTGCGAACAAAAGGCGAAAATGTAATTGTTAAAACAAATGAAATAATGTATCGGGCGATGATTTGTTATTAGTGAATAGTGAATTAAACTGTGAATTATTAATTCAAATTGTGAGACAAATACATATTTCTAAATGTCTGTTTTCGTCTTGTGAAAACCGCAAGTGAAACAATGGGACAAATGAAATATTGTAACGTGAAAGCAACGTGCTATTTCAGGACGCTCTTCCACAACATATTGCGAGACGTGTTTCCAGAGATCGTTCAAAATCGGTGATTTGGCCAACATCACAAGGCTTAAAATAAACTTCTTCTCGAAATGTCTTCATTGAAAAGCTGGCTAATGCGTGTGACACTTTGGACAGTCGAGAATGAGAAGTAAATCTTGGAACATTAAATGAATTTGAACTTGATTGTCCAGCTGATAGACAGTATCCTCTCTTAGTTAACTCTGTGTGTTGGAAATTTCATGTAACTTCATTGCATGTTTTCTTTCACGAACTTCATTGCCCCTACACTTTTTCATCGCTTTAAATAATTTCAGTTGCAATATTTTATCATTTACAAATAATATCACGTAAAACGCTTAAACCATATTTATTATGTCGATAATAAGAAATATTTTGTAACAAATTGTATTTGTGAATGCGCATAAATGGTAGTATATTCATCTTAATCCATATTTCAATTAAATAATGAAGCTTTGTAACTTCAGTTGTTAAAACATTCATTGCACCATTATCTCCGAATACTTAGACATTTCGAAGTATTCAGCTCAGAATAGGCGGCTCACTGTTACAACTGATGTCGTTGCAGTACTTTTGATCCGGAGGTCCTACGGTTCACTGTGACGAGATTTTAGACTCCGGCTATTAGACGCTGGAGAAGAACTCTAACGAACTCTACGAACCGTGCACGCCCATTCCTTCCCCTTACTTGTTCTAAACTCACCTTGTACTTACACAAACACATGCACTACACTACCACACATACACACACATGCCATGCTATCACACATGCCACACACATGTTTTTTTTAAAAACATCGAGGATTTTAAAGCCGATGTTTTTAACATCGATGTTTAAAGCTCGATGTTCATACGTTTTCGATTTTTTTTCTGTCAATGAAGCAGTACAATAATCCCAATTCTGTAAGAGATAAGTTTTGTCATGTAACCGATGATTCACGAGTTTGAACGGAACGGATCTTCATCGAGCAGAAAAGAGCATCTCTTGGCTGAGCAATGACCCCGATTCCATGATACTTCCTTCGCCTGTCTTCGTATCACTTGGAGAGGCGTCAACGTATGCGGTGCCACAGGCGTAGGTCCCTGGGCGTCCCCCCTTCCTTCCGTTCCCTTTTCGGCGAACTGAGGAAGCTCTGAACTCCTGAGATGACGCTTTTAGACTCATATGACGTGAAGTTAGCAGATAGTGCAATTCGTATGCAAACTGATTTTACAAACTAAAATATAAAATATTGGGGTCTATAATAGTTATATTAAATAAACCAGTAATGTAATTTTCGTCGACAAAATAATGTAGTACGCTTTTTTGTATTACTCCTCTTATAATAAAAGTGTTGTTAAATGTCATTATTTTGTCACTTTTGTGGCAGTTAAATATTAATTAGACACTCAACATGACCACTACTATCGAATTCAATTTTTCTCCGCGCTAAAATTACTAGACGCTATTATGTCAATTTAAAAAAAAATATCGATGGTTTTTAAACGATGTTCTTTTTGACATCCATGTTTTAATTTTGAACATCGATATTTTAAAACATTGATGTTTTGTCATCGATGTCGCATCCAGCGGGGGAAGATCACCTTCACCTCCCGAAGAAAACGCATGCACCGCACTTACAGGACTAATGACCTTAGAAGTTGACGCGCCCGAAATCACTAATCAATCAAAGTATTCACGCAGCAGATCATTTCCTGAGGGAGAGCCATCCTTCCTCGCTGGCTTTGGCGCGGGGCGCAATGAGGTGAAGTGCGAGATGTCAGCTAGGGATGCGACATCGATGACGATGTTTTGAAAACATCGATGTTTCTGTATAAACATCGATGTTTTAAACATCGATGTTTTAAACATCGATGTTTTGTAAACATCGATGATTTGTAAACATCGATGTTTCTATAAAACATCGATGTTTTAAACATCCAAGTTTTAAAGTCGATGTTTTTCAACATCGATGTTTAGAGCTCGATGCTTTTACGTTTTCGATCCCTGAGTGCGAGCGGGTGGCTGCGTTGCAGGTGCGGAAGCCGCTGATGGAGAAGCGGCGGCGGGCGCGCATCAACCGCAGCCTGGAGCAGCTCAAGGTGCTGGTGCTGGGCCCCGAGGCCGCGGACGCCGCGCAGGTGAGGACCTCGCATTGCCGTGCTTTGGGAGACCGAAACACTGTGCACTTCTTTCCATTCGCCACATACTGTTTTAACTAAGTTTTATATCATTATTATTTTTATTATTAATATAATTATTATTATTATTATTATCATTATTAATATTATTATTAATAATATTATTATATAATGTTAGCTTATTATCTTATTTATGTAATTAGCTGCCACCGGGTTATACCCATTTGCAGTTCAAATAAATTTATCCTTATCTTATCTTAACTGTTTTGGAGGCTGAATTAAATAAATAAATAATATGCGGTAAAACTGTATTAATAATTGAAGTGTTTGTCTCTGATTTCATAATAAATATGTTTTATAAGCTCGTGTGGTTATTTATATGATGTAAAACTCCATACAAAACTGCTTTTATAATTTTTGTCATTTATGTTTTTTGTCTTTTATGGACTCATGTACGGAAATTTTAAACCAATTTCGATGGATCATTCAATAAATAATAGTGTTTTATCCCAAGAGCAATTTACTCTCGTTTATTCGGTAGAAAAATTCTTATTTCCGCGCCCTGGTAACTAAAAGTTGATAAGTTTTGTTCCTATGAATACTAAATTACTTCCTCTTACACGTTGTGTAGTTAGAATTCACGTGTTGTGGGTCTGATACCGAAAAATTAATTATCGTCAAAACGTCTGTCTGTCCGTCTATCCGCCTATCCGTCCGTCCGTCTGTCTGTCCGTCCGTCTGTCTGTCCGTCCGTCTGCATTGAAAGATAAGTTCAAGTACCTGTCCCATAAACCTAATGAAAGTTTTTGATAAACGTTAGTATCTCGATGCTGGTCACTGACCGATTTCAGATATAACTTATCTAAGAGATAGCGTTTTTTTAACAACGACATACGTGCACTATAACACTTCTCCCTTGACAACTGATAAAATATAGGAAACTTAAGAAATATTAGTGAAACTCGTGAGAAAATTACGCACTTCGTAAATAATAATGGTTTAAAAATGAAAAGTGTGTCATAGTAGAACCAAATATTGAACGACTAGCCCAGAAAGTGTGCGTTATAGCATTATAGGCCCTGCACTGTGCCAGAGAAACCATTACAACAATGATAAAAGTTGAGATTAAATTGTACAGATAATCCAAGAGTCTCTTCGGTTTTATTGTGAAAGATTACTTCTATTTCATCTTCCAATTTAATTTTACATAGATGTCGGGTATTTACACCTTTTTGAACAACCATGCTATGGAGTGGCGGCACCCAAAGAACTAAATCTCAAAAAATGTAACAGATAGTTCAAAAAGCTCTTATTTTGTAAACAAAACTGCCTTAAAGTGCTGTAGCAATCTCGGACCGAAAGATCGCGGGTTCGAGTCCCGCCTCGGGCATGATTGTAATGTGTTGGTCCTTTCACCCCCTATCATCATCATTATCGTGTCATCCTCACAGTTACCATACCGTTACACACAATAGTGGTCACTAATGACCTAGAAGTTGATGCGACCTTAAATAACAAGAAAAAAACTGCCTTAAGAAACATATCAGACCCCACTTGTTCTCCAACGGTCTCTGCCCGCCCCTTCATGTTCCCCCTTTGTCCTCCTCCTGTCTCCCGACGATCCTTGTCATTTCCTCACCTATCCTTCACCTGTTACCCAGAACTCGTATGCTCACAGAACTCACTTGTCCCCATAAAACTCATGACTCTACAAGAGATACGAAAATCGGTTTTAAAGGACTTGGTATGCATAGTTATCGAGTGATGTGCGATTATAATGTAATAATGTTTTGTGAATCATAATCTGCAAACATTTACTTTTCGCCTTAAATCTTTTGTATTGAGAACTATGGTGTAGTTTCCTATTCCGCAGTAGTGCAGTTTCAAGGTTTTGTGGTGATGGACCTCACAAATTCCTAAAATCCTTCATCTATCGGCGCCCAGAAAACACCAGGTGCCTGGGGTAGTTGAACTAGGGGGGCTTCTTATTTCAAACAATAAATTTCCTCCTCCCCATTTCGTTAACACAATTCAATCCTCCATGCACTAGAAATAACTTATAGTGTTAAATTTGGATTAGAAATAAATATATTTTTCATTTCTTTTGAATGAAAAATATTCGGGGTCCTAATTAAGTTGGGGCCTGGAGCAAGTTGCCTCAGCTGAACCCCCCGCTTATGGACGCTCCTGTCTATCGTTAGCGTATTACGTGAAGAAAGGAAAACGGATAATATTGATCAATCTTGACGGATTTCAGGGTTCCAAAGCAGCCAAACTGGAGAAGGCCGACATCCTGGAGATGACGGTGAAGCACCTGCAGGCGCTGCAGCAGAAGTACGGCGTGGAGCGTGAGCGCGGGCCCCCTCGTGCAAGGGCCGCCGTGCAAGGCGCTCTGCTGCTCGCGGCCACGCCCTCTCCGCCTCCGGACGAGGGCCCTCGCCCCGCTCCCGCTCCCG